AAGTATCCTCCTTGCCAGTATGAGACACAAATCATGGAAGTGCTTGAATCAAGTAAAATCTGATCCTAAAGATTATGATACCTTTATTTGACTTGCCCTGCGAACTTCTACCCTGAAACATAAATAGTCGTAAATGGGCATTGCATTTCATAGAACATTTTCGCTAAGAACATTTGGGTGAAATAAACTTATACCTCCTTCAATCTGATGAAAAGAGATTGAATGTTTGGCGAGAACCTCAACAAGCTGATCATCCCTTCTATAAAACTGGTGCCGTACCTCATTTCCAACTCTAGATGACTCACGTTGTCCAATATGAATGGGTCCCAGGAATCACTAAATTTTGGACAGAAGTACTAGAGACGAATACGAAATCCATAAGTAGGAAAAAAAATGATAAAGTACCTAGCAAAATATGAAGTAAATGTGATATGCTTGCATACAGGCATCCATAACTTGACAAGAACACAAGATTATGATGGCAATGTTTGATAAATGATATATCAGGCACGTCTTTTCTCTATTCAGGATTGCTACAACACTGTATGAGAAACATCTGAAAGCGATATAAAGAGACATCGAAATAAGAAAGTCGGTGCCGGCATACCTTGACAACAAGAGAGGACGCCGTCAAACTCTTTGCAAAATTAAGTCCAACAAAGTTTGCAGGAGAAAGCAAGTGGTTCTCAAAGCTAATGTTGTACTCCTTAGGCACACGTAGAAGAAGGCGTATCGTGATGTTCTCCAAACACTCTGTATCCATCAATGAAACACCTAGCAACATCGGCCCTATGTAGCAGAAGGACACCAAGCTTGGAGATGAAATTCTAAGCTTACAATCGAAAGAACCCACGACCGAAAATTCCTTGCAAGTGCAAATGTTCACAATTGTTACACTCTTGAGGTTAGCAGCTGATATATCAATCTCCTCTACATCCTTTATCTGGCAATCCTCAAGGTACACCTCCTCGAGCTTAACACATCCACCTGAGAACAACTTTTGGGCAGCATCACAAGTTATGCAAACTCCCCTCATTGAAAGACTCACGATGCTACTGAAAACGGCTACAGCGCGAAAAGTAATAGTATGTAGGAAATGCAGTTTTAGAAATGTCAATGATTCGCAAGCCCCGCGTGGGAACTCGAGCTCGTCAGACGAGTAATCCCCGCCGAGAAGGATGAGCTCTGGAACTTTTTCTCTCCCGGCCACACAGATCAGCAGATTCAGCTGCTGGATCACGGTGTTGCTACAGCTGAGTTGTATCTTGTTGATTGTCGAGTTGTCCCGCAGGAGCAAAGAGGACTTGACGAAATCCCAGAATTTTCCATACGGGTCACTGCGTTTGTCCAAATTGACGTCGAGGTGCTTCAAATGCCAGTCCATGTCGAAGTTTAGGCAAGGCACCGATTTCCAGATGGACTTCCATCGTTTGGAGAGCACGCTTGTGCGGACAACGTCAAGGAAATCGAGAAAGGAAAACACGCGTTGCAGGATATCGTCCGGCAACACACTCAACCGATCGGCATTATGCTTTCTT